GGTATACTTTGAGTTGACAATAAATACAGATTTTGAACTAGTATTAATTTAGTATAATTAGAACCTTGAAAATATAATGAATAACAAATAAGTAAAAGAAAAGACTTTTAACTTTGTCTTAAGTATTAAATTATTAGAAACATTCTAGTTCTGTCATGATACTTTTGTTGGTTGCATATTGCAATTGATGGTCGTATTTTTTCAAATAATTATATGACTTCAAATTACAGCAAAACTGTGAAATTGATCTAACAATGTGTTCTGTTTCATTGACTGTCTCCATACAGCAGTCCATTTGTGAAGCAGACTTTTATCTTTATATATAAACAAATTTATCTTGGCCATCAAGCCATATTTGGTTGCATACCATTCTAAACCTTGCTTCGCATGCTATGGTTTATATCATTTATAATGTGAATTGATATTAGGCTGCCTGAAAACTGGACCATTACCATATCACCTGTATTAGGTCTTCTTCCACTGTTAGCTTGCTCTCAGAATTCATCACATGTTGAGGCAAAAGACTGCTTGTTGTTGCTTAACATAATAAGTAATCTAGTCTTCTAACTAGCCTTGACTTTCCACAGCTGTTAGTACTCAAATACCAATTCTCCATTATTTTGTTGTGTCTGAGTTTGGGACCTGTCTCAGTTCTGAACCAGACACTCAGTCCAGAACTCAGGTCTCAGTCCATAACTGAGACAACTCCCCAACTGAGGTACAACATTTTAAATATTATACAGTGTACCATGCAAAAAAAACCCCCTCCAACTATAGTTGTGCTACAGCCTATTTTATATCCAAACACCAACTGCAAACATAAGTACCACCACCATCCACTGGTAACCTTTCATAGCTTTACCCCATTGTTGTGGGGTTCTTGATGCTGAAAATGTAAATAATGAAGTATGTAACATTAGCTGACAATTTTACATAGTGAACTCGATAATAATAAGTCAGACATGGTGGGCTGTCTGACTTATCAAAAAATCTGAGTTATCAAGAGATCAATAGAATTCATTGTAACAGTTTCTTTTAATGGTTAGGCATGCTGCAACAAAACCAGTCAAAGTGAGCATCAGATGTTTATAGTTCCCATCACAAAATTTTCTTGTACTCATCTCAACTTGCTACAACTTTTTAGTAATAATGAAAATTGATACATACCAGAAAATAAACAAAAATTTAGGAATCACAATTGCAGTTGACTTGAGATTTGTATGGGGGCAGAGAACTTTCTACTTTATTGCAGGGTAGCAACACTAATGACATTACAATTTGTTTTTGACACACCATTACATTTCCATTTGCTCATTGGAGTCAGAAAAAACTATATAACCACTATCTGAAAGGTCTTTTAATGCTTTAAATCTCTTAGAATTCTTACTTATACCAGTCATTTCGCACACATCATCAAGGTTTTTGATAGCATCATGGTCACGTTTCTTGCATAAATTGGAACACTGCATGCTATCAAAGCCAAGGATATTCCTAATTACATCTGGTGCTGCAGAATTGATTTTGATTTTTCGTTGTGCTATGAAAAAAGGGAGAAATCTGTGTCAGCCAGTCACAATTCAAAAAATGGGGCTTGAATCAGTGTACATACTTGATGCAAACTGTGCCCGGCTTGAGTATGTATATCCATAGAACTCATCAAATTCATCATTGCCAACAATAACAAATGTGCTCTTTTCTTTATCTTTTACATTAAGGCTCTTTGATTTCACATTTGTTAGGAGCATAAAAATCCACTCCTGTATTTCCATAGCTTTTATAACTTTTGAAACCTTCTATTAATATAGCCAATTAACCAAAAATTAGAACATATGCATGTCAAGCACTAATGAAGCTAGCAATACCTTTCCAAGTTCCTTTTTGAACAGGTCATCATTGATAATCATTTGTCTCACACTCTTGGGATCTGTTTCCTTCATCTGTTGAGCCATGCATAATAATAAGAGTCCAGGATCTGTTTTCTTTATCTGTCGAAGTCCAGAGCTAGGAGACTCCATCTCATTAAACTCAATAAACCCAAAGACATTCCAGAGTGCACCAGGAGAGTTAATATAGATATGGTTCTTATAATCCTTTTCCTTCTCATCTTCAAAGCTTTTAACAAAAAAAAATCCACTTTTCTTCTTGGTGCCATCTACTTCTCTGTCATAGTCATTCTCATCAGCCTTGTCATTAACTCCTTTCTCATTTATGGCTGAAAATTGCATCATATGGGGCAGACTGCAACAAAACCAGACAAAGTGAACATTCTATTATGTGACATAAATGAGAGGCTGCTTATGATG